AAAACTTTATAGTTTAGCTATTATTTTCTCAAAACTTCCACTAGTTTTGTCTAATTGATCAAAAAGGAAACTTAAACATTTGAGTTGAAGCTCGTAGATATTCTGGACTTCCCCAATACTAAAACACAAGTTGTATTAAATTATAGAGAAAGCGTGTTACCTTAGTTGTCTTAAGCTTTTTGTTAGTTTTGTTTCTTTCACTTTTTCCGTTTTGAACTCTCCAAGTACAACCAACACTTTGCCACCCAGTAAAAGCACCCTTACTCCCATCTCTTCCACTGTCTGAACTGGAATCTAGACACAAGAATAAAAGAAAATAAATTATTCAACCTTTAAACAATGGAAATTTACACTTGCACATTTTTGGGAAGTTTACAATCTTGAAATATGATCGTCATATTAGAGGTGGCAAGTTATAAACATTTGGTTACAAAATTCATTTTAAGATACATTCGTTCTTTATAGATTACTTTGATAGAGGTAGGTAACATCTAAGCAACCCAAAAACTGAAATGTAAGGAAAAAAGATACACTCTGAAGAAATTTTATGACAATATTCCTGATTTCTCTAAATCTAGAAAACAAATATAACTTACAAATCTCGTAAACAAAAACTAATTTAAGAAAATTAAAACTGCAATGCATTTTAAGATGAAATGTGACAAAAAGTATTACGTTTCACAACTTCTATAAACTAATAGAACGTTTACACAGAGATAGAACTGACACTGAACACAATGTTTATACAATGATAGAAGTAAAACTGAACACAATGTTTATACAATGACATAAGTAAAACTGAACACAATATTCAGTTCAGTTTTACTTCTGTCATTGTATAAATATTGTGTTCAGTTTTACTTCTGTCATTGTATAAACATTGTGTTCAGTTTTACTTCTGTCATTGTATAAACGTTCAGTATTAGTTCTGTCATTGTGTAAACAGTCTGTTCAGTATTAGTTCTGTCATTGTGTAAACAGTCTGTTCAGTATTAGTTCTGTCATTGTGTAAACAGTATCAGTTCTGTCATTGTGTAAACAGTATCAGTTCTGTCATTGTGTAAACAGTATCAGTTCTGTCATTGTGTAAACAGTATCAGTTTTGTCATTGTGTAAACAGTATTAGTTCTCTCATTGTGTAAACAGTATTAGTTCTCTCATTGTGTAAACAGTATTAGTTCTGTCATTGTGTGAACAGTATTAGTTCTGTCATTGTGTGAACAGTATTAGTTCTGTCATTGTGTAAACAGTATTAGTTCTGTCATTGTGTAAACAGTATTAGTTCTGTCATTGTGTAAACAGTATCAGTTCTGTCATTGTGTAAACAGTATCAGTTCTATCATTGTGTAAACAGTATCAGTTCTATCATTGTGTAAACAGTATTAGTTCTGTCATTGTATAAACAGTATTAGTTCTGTCATTGTTTAAACAGTCTGTTCAGTACTAGTTCTGTCATTGTTTAAACAGTGTTCAGTATTAGTTCTGTCATTGTGTAAACAGTATTAGTTCTGTCATTGTATAAACAGTCTGTTCAGTATTAGGTCTATCATTGTGTAAACATTCAGTTCAGTTTTATTCTGTCATTGTATAAACATTGTGTTCAGTTTTACTTCTGTCATTGTATAAACATTCAGTTCAGTATTAGTTTTGTCATTGTGTAAATATTCAGTTCAGTTTTACTTCTGTCATTGTATAAACATTGTGTTCAGTTTTACTTCTGTCATTGTATAAACATTCAGTTCAGTATTAGTTTTGTCATTGTGTAAATAATGTTGAGGTGAGTGCTCTGTATAAACCAGTGATGTATGTCCAATATACCCTTCTTCCACAACAGGTGTTAGTCTTGAAAAGCCTTACAGTAGAGTTGAGGTGTATATAAGTATCCATATAACATAACAATGTGCCCTTCTCCTGCAGATGTTGTCAGTAAAATTGAGGTGAGTGCACAACGTATGGTGTGAATGCATATTGGCTGTCCAGCAACTTCTGTGCAATTACTTGAACGGTCGTGTCCTACTTCCGCCCATCCTATGGACAAAAATTTAACATCTTTGCCTCTTCACTTGTTTTAAATGGACGAAGGGTATACCCCGAACAAGACAAGATGTCATTTTCCAAATATGTGCCCTTATGGAGCCCGTGCAATCTGGTGTCACGCTTCTAGTGCAAATTTTCTTACTTGCCTTGTCAAAGAATGAAGATGCAGAGAAGGTGTATCATCCTCCTGTTGGTAGAGGGTTTTTTGTTGCATGATTGTTGTCAAACAGTGGCATAATTCACATAAAACCATGTGCATTTAGATGGGAGTTTCCTGAAAGCTAGCAAACATGTTGTAGAAGGTAGCTTTTCTGTATGAGGAAGTATCTAATGGAAATATATTTTCAGATAAGGAAAATGTTAACTATCTTGAATTTTGTTGTTGTTTGTTTGTGCATTGAGTAAATGAACTTGGCCATGTACAAAAGACTTCCTCTTTCATGTTACCCTTGCCCCAGAGGGAGGGGGAGGGTATTGCTGTTGGGTCCGTTTGTGTGTGTGTATGTCTGTGTTTCTGTGCACGTATCTCAAAAACTTGTAGACTGATGCATTCGAAAATTTTGCACATGATGGGAAGTCAGTATAGGACAGTCATCCCCAAATTTGGTCCGGATCTAAATATCCGGATTCTGGATCACTTTGAAGCATTTTTTTTTTTGTAATGGGGAGATACGGCATTTTTGTGTTTTGGGGCTAATAACCCTGTATGGTGTGATCAGATTTGTACCAAATTTCATAGATGCTTTAAGGTTAAGACTCCTCATCACCCTATCAAAAGTGATCCGGATCGGTGATCATTCTGGATCTAAGAAGGATTTCTTGAGGTTCCAAAGGTGGAATTTGACGTTATCCAACATAAACACATGCAGTCTCGAAGAGGAGCAGTGGGAGGTATGCAATCTTTCTGATTGCTCTTGTTGCACCTGAGAGTGTGAGACTATCATAGGAAAAAAAAACACCGTGCAATTCAAATATCTTACAAAGTGACTTGATGTGAATGATTAGATATTTCTAGCCCCCACCCCTTCTTCTATTGTTAGAATGAATAGATTTTCTATCTCCATTTTTTACGTCTAAAATAAACAACTTTTGTGGATAGAGGAGTCTTAATTTTATAATACATAATCTCAGAATTTTTCTTAAGATAATTATGTAAAATGTTTTTATGTTAATTCTTCACAAAAATTCGTTATTTTCATTCATATCTCAGTAAAGTGTTTTATTCCTAGCAGTTCATTCTAGATGTTTGGTTGATTTTTGTGGTATAATTTTATTTTAGCTAATCAGAAATGGTAGAACTGTGTCACTTGTGTCCAATGATTGCAAAGGACAATCACAAGGTGATCTAATAAAGTGGCTTTTAACAGTGTTTGTTTTTTTACTTTGAAATTCAACCAGCCTAGTAGTCTATATATCTTATATGAAGCATCAAGGCAGATGAAAGTGTATTATATGAACTTTATTTATCTAGTGTGTGGCAACATGTGGACTGTATGGGACTTGATAGATCAAACATCCCTGATACGTACCTGTGTGAGAAATGTGAGCCACGCAAGGTAAACAAACAAAAAGCTAAAGCTCTACAAGCTCGGAAGAAAGAACAGATGTCTGGTTAGTATTAGTACTGTCATTGTGTAAACGGTATTAGTTCTGTCATTGTGTGTTCAGTATTAGTTCTGTCATTGTGTAAACAGTAAGTGGGCACATTTGTCAGGAAGAGGACAAGGATGACACGAGTGATGTCTCTGATTTATATGAGGAGTAACCTGCACTATATTAACCCTTTCTGCCCGGGCATTATTTACTGCACCTTTCACAAGGTTTTAGTGGCTTACTTTAATTTTTTTTTTATGTTGTATCAATTAGTATAGCATAAAATCAAAGCAAATAATCCATATTTTAATAGTATACAAGTTTTAAGTTCTTAATTCTACAAGGCAATATTTTAAAAAATCCTGAATTTCCCCTAGTGTGACCCTCGTGATACATTTTTTCTTAGCATGTCCTCTTCCCTAGTTTATCCACCACCCCTTGAAAAAATATGAAATTAAATGTAAATTACTCACCATAAAATTGTCATTTCTCAGACAAACTATAAGTTTTATAGCTTTCATTTTTGTATGGTTACAGAGCCATCAAATAGAAAATCAGACCCCTCTTGCCACACCCACCTGTTACATCCTCTCTTTCAGGATTTGTTAATAGTTCTATCTCACATTTATTTCTATATTATCTATAACTAATAGAAAGCCTAGGTTTTCATCTATCAAATGACGTATTAAATAATGTGGTTTTCTGAACTGGGAATTGTCAATTTCTCTGTTAGTACAAGCTTTATTCCCTAGGGAAAGATAACAGCTAGCTTGGATGAATTTGTAAGGGCTCTTCTCGGACAGTTAGACAACCAGAAAAATTGTGATCGTAAT